GGACACCTGGGATTTTTTTTTAAAAAATATATTTGCGTAATACTGTTATGCCAACATAGTTGTATCGTGGTACAGCGGACCCGTTAACTCCAGCGTACTATTGTTCATATTTTCCATTTATGAATAATCTTTCCGCATTAGGTGGAAATAAATGGGGGCCTATGGTTGGGATGATTGATCAAGACCAAGTATAATAATAAGACATTTCATATAAAAGCACGTTTTAATAAAGCACAAAATAAGGCCAAGAAAAAAAAAAAACATTTCGACATTGCCAAACACAAAGGACTATTAAATTGGTGACGCCTATGGCTACCATTGCGATAAAAGGTCAAAGTCAGTCAATCTCTGCAAAACGTAGCCACGTTTCTTAGTTTTTTGTTTTTCCTTTTCTTTTTCTACCTCTTTGACTTGCGTTTTCTGTCGTGTTTCCTTCTTGGGCGCCGTCTCCTTCATCTTTTGCACCTCGCAGTCCATGTCAAATGGGCAGTCCTCGGCCGCGGTCAGCGGCATCATGATCACGGGCACGTAGCTCAACTTGTCGCCATCTTGGAGCTGCACATAACATAACTACTTAGACTGAGGCGCATTCAAATTTATGAAATGCATTAGCTACTCGCTGCAACGCATGCAATATAAAAAAAAAAAAAGTAAATGTACATTTGCAATTACTACTACTGCGGTAAACGACTGAATCCAAGCTTTAGCATTATTGAGATTAATTTAAATTTAAAAAAAAAAGTCATATTTGTATCCAAAATTATTTTCTTCATCGAGTAATTTTGATTAATATCAAATTCTATTTTATTCCTATCTTTATTCGTAGTATTAAATACAACTACACTTTTTTATAGTAAAAAAAAAAAAATACAAAAATATTTCTTCGATGCTAGCAGGCAACTTAATCGACAATCTGCAGCATCCTCAGATTGTGTATATGAGTACATACAATGATTGGATATGGAATGTCATCAGAATAATGAGTTTTACCTTTGTTAAGTATCTATGTTAATTGTTAACAGATATAATAAATTATGTTGCATAGTGTGTGTGTGTGTGTGTGTGAGTGGCGCGAGGATCTCGGTTGCAGCGCACCTGGTGTTGCTCCGCGCACTGGCAGCAGTAGCTCTGCGCGGCGGACACGGCCTTGCTGTCTATCAAGTATTTAATGACGGCTTTCAACTGCTTATTTTCGGCGTCGTTTTCATCCGGCGTCTTGTTTTCCCACTTTCCCTGGGGATTCATCTGCACGAGCGTGGGAGCAGACATCGCAAGAGTGTCGAACCCGGGCCTTGTCAACGGGCTGTTAACAATTAATATTTGTATTTCCCATCCTACAAGTCAAAAATCATATTAAAATGTAAAGAAACGATAAAAACAAGAGATACGCACATGTCGGCCAGTTTTTTTTTCGTATTCTTCTCCGACATTTTAATTATACTTAAAATATATACAAGGAATATTTATATATTTTAATATATATGTACGAGTATTGATTAAATTTAGTGAAATTGTTCAAAGAAAAATGTTTTTGATTTTTAAGATAATTTTACAGAAATTTGACACAATTACTGACGGTTGACGGATGATTTTAATAATTTAAAAAAATAAAAAAAGAAAAACAAAATATTATATGGTGTCTGGTATCAATGTTATAAAGAACAGGCACAGAGTTCTGTATGAGTTTGCATTTGCTGTTTTTGTGTTGTGTATTATTCGTGTGTTTACTTTGACGAAAGTTTTACGCAGTGATGTACATATATTAAGGATCGAATTAATTTTTTATGAATATAAATGTCGTATCGTACGCTGGTAACTGCCGTTCCCCGTTCCCACCCTTTTCTAATTATTCAAATGTACCTTGTCAATTATTGACCAAAAAAAAATCATGAAAAACTTTTTGTTTGTCAGCATCTCAATATTTTGTTTAATGTCTTATTACTTTAGTTATGGTGTATACTCGTAAAGCAGGAATAGAGAGAAACCAATCAAATATTTTAAAAAGTAATTCATAGATTTTAGTCATTTAAATAAAAAAAAAAAACAAAGTTTTCGTTAAAGTACCTATATTTGTAAAACACAGCGGTCTCTACCTGAGCTACAGCTCGGTTCGGCTCGGCTCGGCTCGGCTCGGCTCCCAAACACAAATATCGGATGGACAATCAATCATATTTTTGCACCCGCCTGAATAATCGCTGCCAACTTTATTATTTTGTTAAATTGATTCAGATTTCACACAATATGCTGTCTCCTTTACTTCTAATAAAAATAGCAAGAAACAGAAATGAAACGAGGATGATATAAGGCTGTTTATATTAATAGCAAGTTTTGTGCATGTGTTGCGGTTGTTGCAGGTGTGTTTGGGCTGCGGGGGTGCGGGGCTGCAGAGCTACCATTGCGACAGCATGTCGAAGTCCGTGTGTCGACTTAGCAACCAGGGCTTGGGGCGATGCAGCGGCCCGCCGCCGGCTTTAGGTTCCCCACCTTTCTTCTCCCGCTCTGACTTCTTACACGAGTGCCAGATGAATCTAAAATAAGCAAAAGGGTAAATAAATAAAATTTATAATAGTAGTAGTACCTCAATGTTAAGTATATCTAAAATCAACTTCTATTCAAAATTAAAATTGAGCATCACGACTTAGCCGCTCAAAGGCCGAATGTTCTACTATGCATCGGGGTACCTCGGTGTTTTGACGACTTGGTCATGCAGCGGGCACTTAAACTCCCAATCTGGCAATTGCAAGATGTAGATCACCTCTTCCTCTTCAGCTTTTGATTTATCAGTTTCTTTCGTAGTTTGCGCATATGGCTAAAACACATACAACCAAAAGATATAAGTAACGTCACTACACTAGGGTTTGCACAGCGAGGCAAGTTTTATATTGTAGGGAAAATTCGCCAATAATGTAAAATAGACATTTAAGTAATGTTAACTTTAAATAATATTTAAGATAGTCTGATATTGGACAATGGATGAACGTGAAGCTAGGATGACGTACAAACACACTAGGTGCGGAGATGGCTTCTGACGGGTCCAAGTATCCGTCGAGAATCTGCTGGTTGATCTTGGTCTTGCGCGCCATGTTGAAGTTTTTGGCCGCTTCCTGCGAAGTCGGGAACGTGATGAGCGGCCTCCTGTTGGCAACGATCTCCAATAAATACTGGAATTATAAACAAACGTACCTTGTTTACAATTCCAATCAATATCGTACAAGCTACACTAATTAATGTATAGTTTATAAGCAAACATAAAACAATAGATAATATTTTAGTTAAGTTTGTTTTAACAAAACGTAATAATAGTGATATCTACATCTTGCTGACTGTGACGGCCGCAAGATGGCGTCGTCGGTTCATATCGTTGCTAGACACCGTTGGTATTGTTCTGTATTGTTGCTGGACGACAAACTTATTGGCTTCCCAATTTTATTTTGCACCTAATTTTCGTAGCGTCCAAGTAAAACAAATTGGACAGTACGCAAATTATTCTTTATTACTCAGTTTTTTTTTTGCCTATATGCTCCTTAGTATGAGAAATGTGCACTAAGGAACGTAATAAGGTCGATTGATAACTGTGAGTGCGACAGTGAAACATAACTATGTGACGTTTTATATTTTATTTATTTATTTGGCCATTTATGCCTTTTTCAGGCGTGTTATAATACATACATATTCTTCAAATAATAATCTTATAAATGTACTTAATAATTCTATTCTATTTCTTGTTCTATTTTTAATATAATATCTTTTGTATGGTTTATTTTTTGGATATGAAATGTACTATATTAAAAACATATATATGATAAATAAATGTATAAGGAATAATAATACTTAATAAATACATGTTTCCTAATAATAATAACAAACTTTGAAATACAAAGAGATGAAAATAATGTCTTACCCTGCATTATGAAAAGTTATAAATGTATGTCTATCTCGCTCGCACCTCAAAATCTATCAATAAAGGTTTTTTTTTTAACTTAATTCGTAACCGGAAACCCTTTTTCGAACACTTAATAAAATTCCTAATAACTATGAAAAATATTTAATTTCAGTTGTTATTTTCTTTTAGAGACTTTTCGCAGGTTTTATCATAGTATCGTAGCATTTTAGAATCTCGATGAGTTAGTTGCTCCTACTTTTGTAATTTAGTGCCGTAGTACTCTTAATATAATACATTTTATTCAGTACACAGTAGCATGTCAAAGTTGGTCAAAAGTTAAGTTCTAAAATTACAAGATAACCGTCAAAGTTAATTATTTTTTGTGCTTAAATTACGAATGTTTTGGTTCAATGTTTAACTACAATTAACAGCTACATATGTTACTTAGGTAGCTAATACAAAAGAAAAATATTGCAGGAATATTTTCATATTTGTAGCCATACTGTTAATCATATGGTGGAGGATATCAAATTATAAGAAAAGTTAATATAAATTTAAACAAAAACAGTTGGATGTTTTTAGTATTATATTTTTCTCGGTGTAGTTATCGACGTGGCTATACATCATTGCAGTTTTGTAGGAGGAACTTTTCCAATGTGTAATAAGCTTTCTTCATCAAAAAAACCTTTTCAATTTTTCAATTTCTTTTCTCATTTCTTCCCCTAAATGGTTAAATTGTTTTACGGCATATAGTAGGGTCTTTCATTTAGCATTTTAATTATTGATTGCGGTAAATATAATTTATCTTTGTGGCGGGTGTTAACTATGTGGAAGTCTTTATATTTTTAAATGTAAATATATACATATATATATTAAAGGTCTGTACTACATTTTAGTTGATAAAGATCTTATGTAAATTTGGATAGCTCACATTTAATACATTCTATATGTAGTCTTTCAATTTATATGTATGTTAATATTTATTTCTAACAGTAAGTAGTAGTTGTAGTAAGTAGTAAGTAATGAGGTACAAAATAAAAATGTTGTCCATTTTGCAATTAAATTGTACGTTTTGCGCCATCTGTTTTCGTTAGGGTACAAGAGGTGAAGGTATTGCTTCTCGTGTCTTTATGTAAAGCGCCATCTATGTAACATTTTGTTTCAATAGTAACATTTTTCGTTTATTTCATATAAAATTTGGTGTCGCGACATTTCTTCGCGATAAATATTATTTTGATTAAGACAAAAACGTAATGTAATCTCAGAAGACAGTTTTATAAAACGGACCAAAAATTAATAAACTGATATTTTTTATTGTACACAAAGTTATTTTAAATAAATAATAATAAGTATATATGTTGATGACGTAGTCCGCGATATTTAAATAAAAAAAAAATGAAATAAAACACTTGTTCAAAATTAACTGAAAAAGTAACAAAAAACGTGGTCGCCTTGTGCAACCAGAATCGAACTTTATTCGACCATGTATGCATGCGGTCCGAGCAGACTCCGAGGAATCCGCCCCGCCGCCGCACTAGACGATACTCGAAATTAGTTTCACTTACGTATCCTCAGTCGTTTGTCAGTAGTTATTGGTCACTGAAAATGCCCTAGCTTTACCTAGCTCCATGGTATAATCTGGCTTTATCTCCATGGTATAAAGTCGATTTTACATTGAACGTATATCAAACATCGTGTTTTCCTGGTAGTTACATTTATTAGAGACAAAATGTACTTAGTCCAAAACTGTAGCAAATGGCTTACGACTCTATGCCCTCGTCATAAGGTATAAATTTTAGTGGCCCGATATCAATTAGTCCTGTTTTGAAATAGCAATATAAAAGCCGGTGCCGCATTTTACGTTTGATTTTGTACGAACGTACTTATGCAACTGGCTTATAAATTTTATCAATGATTCAACCAAAAACTTTTCTACTTTTCTCTATATAGATGTCTACATAATATATATTTACTTCAGTAAGCGCGAACAACATGCTAACCTGAAGGGGTCCAGGTAGAGAGGGCGCGGCGGCAGCTTGAAGTGTTTCTTGATGTACTCGTCGTCCAACAGGGGGAAGTCCAGGGCGCCGGTGGAGCGCGCGGGGGGCGCGGAAGGCGCGGGCGGCGTGGCGGACGTCGGGGGCGCAGCCGTGCCCACGCCGTCGCCACGCGGCACTAGGCAGATCAGCGGCAGCCTGTCCTGCTGACCGCCGCTCGGACATTGACAACAACTGCAAAACGTTCGAAACATAACTGTTGCGGCTGCGGCTGCGGCTGCGGCTGCGGCTGCGGCTGCGGCTGCGGCTAGTGCACTTTTCCTGCATTAATACTATTGAAAAAAGAAGCTAACCCTGCCATCGCAATAATTCTATTGTTATTCTGTGCTAACTAAAATTTATAAATTGATTTCATTTTTTGTTGCTTTTTCTTAATGTTGTAATAGAAACCTGAAATTACGTTACATTATTATTTGTGAAATATTTAAAAAAAAACTATTGGCTGCGTTAATTGACATAAGGTATTTGACTTTTCATTATTTTTAATTGATAATTGGCGCGTATTCAAAATGTAAATGGCCATTTATAAAGGCAAAAAAGTTTTTAATTTTTTTAATTGAAGGAAGGAGTACGTGAAGAGGGAGCTACAGCTACACGGCTGTGCTGAGATGCCTGTTTATCCCTTTATCTATCAATAAATCACTGATACAGGAATTTAAATTCATTACTACGTTATGACAGATGCCTTTGGACAGTGGTCAAGTAATGTTAGAAAACTGATTTGTGTTTTCAATAAACTCCTTCCATCTCCTGATTTCATTTAGCACGTATCTCAATGAAAGTGTTATTGTTCCACCAACTTACTTACTTACTTACTTACAATCCAGTGTCCAGTGCGCATGTAACAAGGTTTAAGTGAGGCGATGACAACTGGCACACAGTTCACAAAAGGCACCCTCAGTCAGACGACGGGTGAAGCGCGGCGGGCGGCGATTTAAATTTTCATTTCGACGATAGCTCCCTCCTATTGACTCCATCGTTTTTAAATAAAGGGAACTTAGCAACAAACAGACAAACAAGCCGTTTATTAATTCCCGTCGGGCGTTCAACGTTGGAGCTGCGCCGCGTGCACGCCGCGTGGCGGCCGTCTCCTTGGGGTGCGTCTTTGCCGTTCCGTCCCGCAGTTTCCTCGCGTTCTGGAGTAAACTACAAGCCATTTACGACTTTGTGCCGTCACGCTTGATGTCGAAGTTTAACAGAGTGTCGGCTCAGCCGTATTCGCCGCTGCGCCGAGACACGTATAGACAAACAGATAGACGGACACACGACTACTACACATTTATCGCCCGAAGGAATAATTTTATTGGCTTGGCTACGTTTCCCTACGAGCTAAAAGTTTCAATTGGTTTCCTAGGAACTGCCCACTCGAGCGGCTCAGGATAAATATTAACCTAATTTTCTTTTATATTTACAGATGATCTTACTAATATTGGATGGATGGATGGATGGATGGATATTTGTTTGAGAGTATGTTCGATACGGCTCAACTTATGTATGATACTGTTGTAGAACATAGTCTCCGCAAGAACACATAAACTTCTTATAAAGATATGTTTTTTTTATTTCCTTGCGGAAAGAGTTGCGTGGTAGTATAGTACAGATAGTATTAAAATAGATTCAGGTTCAGTTACTGGCTACGTTCACTAAATGCGTTGTAATGTACCTTTTGACACGCAAACGCAACACGGAATGAGGAACGATACTAATCGTATGGCAAGTTATCAAAATGGACTATGTATGCAGGAGTAACATAGGATATACCTTTTTAATTCCACTACGATATAGGGCTCGAAGCTAATATATACGTGGGTTCTTTTAACTGAATATACGTGAAACAAAAATATAATGCCTGTTCATTGAAAATGGCACTTGCAAAAAATTGAGATCGTCAATAATGCTTGCGCATGCTAGAGCTTGAGGACGAGGAGTTTAGATGTCCTTAGTATGGATAACCGCTAAGTGTGCAGCCTTCGCAGGCCAGGTGGCGTCTGAGACCTGAATACAACCCCGCGGCCTCGGTGCTCGTCGTCAGCCTGTAAGCTATTCCTGAGAGCTGTTTTTGTAAGATGTGCCTGTGAGCTTTGCGGTGACAATCCCTTGCGATATCAATCGCAGCCTCGTTGAGCAAAACAGTGTCGTCATAACTTTTTGTGATTGCCTCCCTGGGCGTGTTTGCGGTGCGGTGAGTTCCATCGTATTGCCGTTTACGACATCAACGCGACGCTTTCCCTCTCTCAATGCTCCTTAATCGGTTCGTTAGATTTTACACGATGTCGTGTTGTTTCTTAAATAATCTTAATAACGGTGCCATCATTTTTGCTGATGATTCTCCACCCAACAAAAATACCGATCCTTTATCTGAAGACGTATTCAAACAACGATTTGAGTCGGCTTCACACGGATAAATAGGGTTTAGTTTTTCGCGCGTATATAACTTTGTTTATACCCAACAGACAAAGAAGGTTATGTTATTCGTGTGTATCTATCTCAGTTTTTTTATTTATTTTATGTACATGGGTTCGTATATCTAACATGTAAATTTCTGACTGAACCGATCACTCATTTCAGTGACGTGACATTCAATTTGTTTTCGCCCCCGGAACGGGCTGTCATAGCGTACCTACATATTATCGGGGCAACACACAATTGCACATTGAAAGTAAAAAAGCTTCTTACCAACATCTATACAAAATTTTGTAAATAAAATATTAGCAAGAAATGAAACAGTATATAATAATAAATGTATGTAGGTATAACTTAAAAAAGCTTCGCCTCAATTTTTTTTATAATTCATCAACTTTAATTATTTGCGATAAGTAAAACAAAAATTATGTATTATCTTTAATTTTTGTCTGTTCGTAGTAAGTTTGTCATCTCCGAAACGGCTGCACTCATTTTGACGGAACTTTATTTCATAAGAGCACACCGACTCCGAAATAACAATAATTATACAATATAGACATATTACAAGAAATAAGAGAATTTTCTTACTTTCGAGGGTGTTCATGACATTATTTGTTACTTTTTAGGGCATTTTGTTTGGGAATGTTTTTTTTAAGTCGGTTTTCTTTTTTCTTAAAATTTTTGTTTATTATTATTTTTTTAAATAGAAGGTGTATCTGCTTATAACTATGCACAAGACGAGAGGAGCGTGAAGCGTGTCATTCTCCATAACATTGGATAATATGCGAGGCGGTGCGGGCGGCGGCGCGCTGTGCCTCACTAATCGTCAATGAGCGCGTGACACAGCGTGAAATGCGCTACGCCTCGTTAGCGCACCCCGCTCATCCCGCTCATCCCGCACACGCCGCACTCCCCCCCCCGCA